CCTCTGGGGGTCATGGAACATGCTCATTACAATATGTGGTGCATTCTGGGAACTGGAATTTTATAGAAAACGTTAACATTTATTCAGTATGGTACAGACATAATATAACAGTGTTTAATAATAATAACATAGCAAATGTACATAATATAACAGTGTTTAATTATAATAACATAACGAATGTACATAATATAATAGTGTTTAATCATATAACATTACGAATGTACATAATATAATAGTGTTTGACCATAATACAATAGCGAATGTACATAATATAATAGTGTTTGACCATAATACAATAGCGAATGTACATAATATAATAGTGTTTAATCATATAACATTACGAATGTACATAATATAATAGTGTTTGACCATAATACAATAGCGAATGTACATAATATAATAGTGTTTGACCATAATACAATAGCGAATGTACATAATATAATAGTGTTTGACCATAATACAATAGCGAATGTACATAATATAATAGTGTTTGAATATAAACTAATAATAAAGCTATTACATTGCATATCACCTGTAGACTTAAGACCCCTGTGGCTTGCCATAAGTTCCTGTCATTAAAGAAACTGTTAAGTGTGAGCCTCTGGACATTTTTATTCAAAGTATTAAGTCGAGGCTTGAAACAGAATATGAATGTTCCCGGATCATGAACCAACTGCCTGAATTTGAGATTATGTGGACGGTAGAGGATGCACTATGTAAAATCGAGGATAACACACTTCGCATTCTACTGTAAACATGGCAGGTACGATCTATTTAAAGCAGGAAGTTGCTTTGTCTTGTTGTTAAACATCGATACAAACGAACATCATTGTATTTACAAACTTAGCACACGCACAGGAGCCAAGAGTTTTGTCCTCTTGGTGGGCTATCATTGCACACACTTACAACAGCGCATATATGTTTTATGTTACTTGTTCTGTGTTTTAAATGTTTTGATTTTCCCTTGGAATTTGGCAGGGGGGTTGGTACCCCCTTAAGTGCGAACCGGTGTCACCGGCCTGCCTACGGGGTTCCAAGGTGTTTTTGTACTGTTACGTGATCGTCTTTTATTTTATTTTACCCGTGAACCAAAAAGCATAATATAATAGTGTTTGACCATAATACAATAGCGAATGTACATAATATAATAGTGTTTGACCATAATACAATAGCGAATGTACATAATATAATAGTGTTTGACCATAATACAATAGCGAATGTACATAATATAATAGTGTT